GAAGGGAAGTTTGCGCTTTCATATCTGGAATTTCTCATAATTATTCTGTGTGAACCACTTTAATTAATTATTTAAAGATTAATGTAAACTAAATATCCCACCTACTTCAGCAGTTTGTAAATTTGTGTTTTGAATTTACTGGTTTCGTATAATTCTCATTATAAACAGCGATTATTTCCTTAAACAGCGTTAACCAGTTGATCGACGTAATGGTGAAGTGTAGTGTTTTCTTCGCGGTACGGACTGAATTCTTTAATATTATTTAGATACCTGGGTTTCCTTCGATATTCACTTAAACAGCGATTATCTCCTTAAACAGCGTTAACCAGTTGATCTACGTAATGGTGAAGTGTGTTGTTTTCTTCGCGGTACGGACTGAATTCTTAAATATTCTTTAGACTAGCTTCGGCTTCGGTGCATTATGTATTGTCCATTAGCACTTTCAAATGTTATTTTGAAGGTACGAAACTCCGCTTTAGCGCCGTACGCCTCAAATGCAGTACGTCTATGCAAGAAAACTAAGTAGCATCCGTTTGTAGCGCAGTAAGTCGACAGTCTCGACGATAACTACGTTACACGGCGCCGATGAAAGGGATCTGTTGTAGTCGACGAAGAGTGAACCTCGCGCCCTCGATCCTTGAACTTCTGGCATCGCGTTGTAGCAGCCTGATGCCTGCCCCACCAGACTGGGGTCAAGGGTGACGGCTGTGACCAGGGCGTCTGCACTGTGCCAGTCTATTTTATTGTCGTCGTTCAGCTGTTCTCGTTCTGCGAGGTTCAGGAAGCGAACTGATGGACTGCTTACAGATCCGAGCTCCTCCTTCCGCCATTGCTGTAACAGAGGAATGCGCTGTAGTCTAGGAAAATGTGGTTGGAGGATGTGGATTGGATTCAGGAGGCTCAAGATAGGGTCCAGTGTCGGGCTGTTTTGAAGACTATAATGCAATTTTGGATTTTATAATTGGAGATTCTCAAGGACTGACGACTGTCTTCTGGAATGATGCGCGTTGTAGTTTAGTACATCTTGTCAATGGCCAGTATCTACCAGACTTCAAGGCGGCCATCTTCTGTGTTGAATGAAGGCTAGAAGTATCCTAGAGCTCACCATAGATACTACGTTGCGTTTGACTACCGATTCCCAGGGAAACAAAACGATCGGGTTTATGCCATTGTTGGTTGCGTTCACAGAGTCGAACACGATGAAGTCTGCTTCAGGGTCGACGTAGAAATTGAATTCTACACCAGGCCTCACGTTGCCGATCCCTGAAGGAAAGAGACGCAGAACAGATAAGGCGAATTGCCTTTCTTTTTAAACACAGTAGTAGGTTTTAATAAGCAAATCATTATACGGAATGTTTAAAAAAAGTTTGTAACCTTTTTTTGCAAGTCTAACCATGCATAGACTTGAAAAATGGTTATTTTTTTTTTATCTAGGTTGGTAGCACGAATTTAAGACTTTTTTTTTTGTTATCATAAGTTTTGTAGATAAATGTACACGAAAGTAAGTGTTTTGTTTTATACTGTATAGAAATTTAAACACCCTGTAACATACGTTTTATCTCGTTCTAAGACTTGTGGGGAGGGGGGGAGGGTTAAAGTTTAATAATTATCTTGATCTTTTGAAGGCTAATTAAATAAAGTAAGTTTTTCTTGGTGCTTAATTAATTTTTAAGCTTCGCATATGTATAGGGGACTTTGCTGGAGGTGAGTGGTTAGCTCCACGCCCCGGCCACTTTACCTCCGTGGAAAGAACCCCGGAACCCATTGTTGTGGAGGGTCGGTGGGTCCCAGAGTCGGTTTGAATCACGTGGAGTAGGAGAGGAACAATTTTGTCCCGCCGGGAATCGAACACCTGTCATCGAGTCCGAAACCAATCAATAAACTGACTGAATTTATGTACCAGCATTTTTGTTATTTGGATAAGGAATTCTAGGGACAAGCCAAAAGTATGTTATTTGATCTTTAGAGAATTTGGTAATTTGGTTTATATTTTATCTTACTATTACAGACGGAATCAACACTGCCCGATATGTCATAGTGATTAACGCAAAATGCAAAGTTAGCAACAAAATTATACGTTTATAAGTCAAAAATTGCCTCTATTAATGTATGATGGAATAATAATGTTTGGAAATAATTAAATACGGCATATTCTAATATTATGATAATAACGTTATAAAATGATTAATGAAACCTACGAAGGATAAATTAATTACTACTATGAAACTGATAATTGCTTACCTTCTGTACTTCCACCGAGCACGACAAGTTGTTTTAGGTTCGTGATGAACAGCGGGTCCAAGCGGATAGCAAGAGCCACGTTTGTCAGTGGACCGAGACACAGAAGTGTTATTTGCTCTGGAAAAGTTAATCCGGCAGTTAGACATTGCAGGCAGATGTTGATGTCAGGTTACGGTAATCGTGCATTATCATATTTCCCCCTGTAAACAGCGATCATTTCCTTAAACAGCGTTAACCAGTTGATCTTCGTAATGGTGAAGTGTAGTGTTTACTTCGCGGTTCGGACTGAATTCTTAAATATTAATCAGACGAACTATGATTCTCAGTGTAAACAGCGATTATTTCCTTAAACAGCGCTAACCAGTTGATCTTCGTAATGGTGAGGCGTTGTGTTTTCTTCGCGGTACGGACTGAATTCTTTAATATTAATCAGACGAACTATGATTCTCAGTGTAAACAGCGATTATTTCCTTAAACAGCGTTAACCAGTTGATCTTCGTAATGGTGAAGTGTAGTGTTTTCTTCGCGGTACGGACTGAATTCTTTAATATTAATCAGACGAACTATGATTCTCAGTGTAAACAGCGATTATTTCCTTAAACAGCGTTAACCAGTTGATCTTCGTAATGGTGAAGTGTAGTGTTTTCTTCGCGGTACGGACTGAATTCTTAAATGTTGCTCAGGCGAATTTAGGTTTGAAAGGGTTACTGAACACCGCCAGGAATTATTCAGAAGACAAAGTCCCTACCACGCTGTCTTCTGGGTAGAAGTTAGAAGACTCACCAAACCCCTGTCAGGATTTGGGGCCTGTCCATGAAAATAACAGCCGTTGAGGCCCATAGTTGAAAGAGAATTTGTGTGTGACAAACATACTTGGATACTGAGACGCGAGTCGTGTCAGGGCGACGGCTGCATGTTCTTTCTTGATGTAGTCCGCTGGATTTGGCGGGTCCGGGTATACGAAGTCGCCCAACCCGTCCTTGCCATAGAAGTCCTCTATGGGCGGGGTTACCAACAGGGAGCGCGAGGCTCCGCTGTAAACGGGGATCTAAAACAAATGAGGAGGGCAGCACAACACGAGAAAATAAATCAAAGAACAAGAATAGACGTGGGAAACGAAGGGATGGTGCGAGGAACGGAAATACGAAAGTCAAACAAGAAAGAGAAGACTTGAACCGAGATAATTTACGTGTAACGAACGTCACATTCTACTGACCCTCTCAGCTAGCCAAGAAATTCCGTGCCTTTTATAGAACCAGAAGTTTCATTACCGTATTCACAAAACCCCTCCACTAGACACTATAGGCCACATCTTCACACCCTGTTCCTTCAAAATCAATTTTAATATTATCCTGACATTTACGCGGCGAACTTGGGATGTAATTTCTTTCAACATTTAAATGTAATCTCAAGGTCTGGCATAAATTTATACTACTCTTATGAGATTAAACATTTTCGACTCATAAATAAAGTGTGTTATTACCAAGATTCCTTATCTATACTAAAGTCAAATTACACACACAAATAATAATTGAGAAGCTGATAGTCACTCAGCTAGTCAACAAATTTCCCGTAACAAACTGAATACGATGGTTCATTAACATGTTCATCGGTGATTGCCCCCTGAATCCTATTCTAATTAGTTGATAAATTTTAAAAAAAGGTGTAGTAATAGACTGACGTCAGAGGATGATTCTGGAAAACTTCTATCCAATCTGAAAATGGCCGTATTCTGAGAAGTTGTGCCATGTAGTTCGGTAGAAGTTTACCGGTGCTTCAGAGTTTCTTACTGCCTCCATCATCAGGGCGATCATCGCAACAACCCACTTACATCCAACCTGTTCGCAGTCTTCAGCACCTTTAGTACGTTGACGGCCACGTTGTTAACATCGGTGTTGCCAAAGACGCACGTGATGGCAAAGATTCGCGCACTGCTGTTCAGCTGTTTCGCCTCATGTCCGAGGGCAAGGAACAGGGCTACAGCGTCATCCACTCCAGCGTCAGTGTCGATTATCAGCTTTCCAGTTTCCAGATTCGGTAACCCGCCTTTTTCTGGTAGCATTTTCAGATTCCCATCCATTGTCGGCGACCTGTAATATTTCATTTTTACTTGTGAAGATCACACATTTCAACATCGTTTAGATTTCAGTTTATCACGGCGACGAGTATGAAAATGTCTGTCTTCTGGGGTGACCACCCTGATGATGGAGGCAGTAGGCACGTCTAAAACGTCGGTCGGTTTCTAGAAGACTACAAGGTAACAACCCCAGAAGACAGTCGTCTTCAACGTAAAATTTGGCGCAATTTTAATACGAAATTTTCTTCAGAACAAAATAAAAATTTTAGTAGTGATAACGTAGGCGTTGACAGTGTAAATGAAACTAGAAAATGGAATTCTGCCTCAGAATAACACATTTACGATTTGTAGGCGTGTGTATCTGTATTTTGACTTTGATATAGTTTTCCGAAGTCAAATATATGTCTGTGGTATTCAAACACACACTGGCTATTTAACTTAAAATACAAACTGCAGATATATATCTTAACTCACATTTCCTTAAGTTCACTTTTGCGATAAATATATTTTTTTTTAAAAATTATCTCACGGAGTTAAAAATAATGCGTCCGCTGCTCGGATCAAACAACCTTCGAACGAGAAGACAGCGTAATTTCTCATACTTTGTATCGTCATGGTACAGTTACACGTTGATCTTCAAACGTTGTATAAATGTTAGTTACTGCATAGATGAATATTTTATTACTCACCCGTTGACAGTTAAAATTAAGACAACTAGATTTGTTACGACAACGAGAATAGAAAATCCTGCGACAACAAACAGTCCACCAGCACTCTCGCTGCGCGCCATGTTGTTATCTCGTTCATGTCTCTCATTTGTTTAAGAGGAATATGACTTGATATTTCGTAAGAGGTCAGTAAATGACGTCAGACGTTTCATTGGAAGTTTTCACCAAGGATAGTAACTTTTTTTCATAACTTACGTAATGAGGATAACGTTATTTGCATTACATTAACCGCTAATCTTTTAACAATCAACTCGAAGACAGAGAGAGAAAAGACCCGTCAAGGATGACTGGTTTAGATGTTCATTGTTCAAATCCCTGCGTTTAAAAAAATAAGGAATTCGGTTGACAGCTTTAAACCGTTAACAATAATGGCACAGGTTTAACGGAACAGCGACTAATATACAATGAAGTCTTTTAGGACGATTAGCCGTGTTAGTATTGAGTTATAATCCAACGTTTCAGAGTCTGTCTCTGATTCCATTGTCAGAGAGACAGATTTAATATCACACTTACAAGGTTGATAAATCAGATGTTTAAGAAATTATCCGTATTTTATGGAAGCTGAAGTTTAATATCCTGATATTTTCGTCCCAAGAAAATAATTTCGACTCTGCAATATATTTTTTCTGTCCTGTCGTTGATAATTACCAAAAACTGCTTTATAATGCATAAAGCAAACAGAGGTGTGTTGTCACATTGTTGGACTTTATAATTGGGTTATAATTATAAATAAGATGGCTGTCGGGAATTTTATTAACTGAAACTGAACGCAATTTGATTTTGTCTTACCTAGCAATTACTTAATTGGAAGGATTTTTAATTATGCGAACGTCATTTGTCAGCCAGATATATTCTGTCTTATGTTGAATAATAATGACTTGTATTAGACTCACAGAAAATAAAATATGCAACAATTAAACCTATAAAATCCACGAAAAACACTGGAATATTCCCCCCCATCTCGAGTAGATCTAAAACACGTTTTCTTTGTTCTTTACGATTATCGTAGACACATATCGACTTTGAAACAGTATCGATATTAAACTACACAGACGTATTAAAATGTTTCCCTTGTAGATTTTTGTTAAACAGCCTTCTTATATTCCAAATTAACAGGTTCTACACGTTTCAAAGGTTCTCTTTATCAGCCCCGAAGATGGAGGCAGTATGTTTCTCCGAGACGTTGGTATCTACCTACAAGTCCTCACGGCGTTACTATCCAGAAGACCTACATCGAAATTTGTGGCCTTTGGTTCTCTCGTAATTATTATTAATTTATCTCAGGTCTCGACATCATGATACAGAGTGGAGAACGTGGATGTACGGTAGATGATTCTCCGGAAATTCAGGGTGCTTAGCCATGCGTAAGATACAATGTAGATGTAATTTCTTTTAGATTCATATACTTCAAGTCACGTGTGATTAAATTTTAAATACATCGCAAATAAAGCAAGACATTCCTATACGTAGATATTTATGTTATTTAGAATTATTTATTTTTATTTATTTATTTTACATTAAAATGACGTGAAATTAACTTATTAATTAAATTAGCATATTAATTAAGTACAGTTTATTGGTGAAACAATACAACTGACTTTATAGAGAAGACTCCTTTGTTAGGTTAAACACGACGGTTCATCGCTGTGCTTACATAGCTGGTCACTGGTCCCTATTTTGAACCATACTTCTGGAAGATAAACTTTAATATTATTCTCGTATGTCAAATTACAATTTGTGGAAATGTCTCCTTGATTTACGTTTGTTTCATAGTTTCATGATAAGAATCAGCAGTGTAAATTATAAATCTGTAACTCCAATCGTAATAAACATGCAAATAACACTAAAATTTTTGAAAAATTAACTTGAGAACTGCTTCTCTGTGGGCCTTAACTAAATCATTTTAACTTATTCTTAGAACTGAAATTTAATCGTATATTTATTTACTGACCTTGAAATGTCTTCTCTGTAGGCACGAGACGCTGGCGGCAGGCGTCGCAACGCTATGCCATCTAACAGAGGTAAACCCACAATGGAGATCTACCGCCCACCTAGTAAGTTTGCCAACTACACGCAAATGCCCTCACTGTAGATTCCAAGATCCTGATGTTTATAGGGACTCAATTTGAGGGTTTCAGTTGGGGTTAGGTAATTTATTTAAATCGTATACATTTTATTTTCTACTGGTCTTTGAAGTTTATGCACATAATTAAGTTGGCAGATTTATGGTATTACTAACCTTATACATGTTCCCCAAGAACCATGTGTGTATAGAAAAATATAATATATATCCCAAAATTTATTTATTACGGAGAACGATAGATATTTATACTCTTTACAGAAAATTATATTAAATCATTCCGAACAGAAACAGCTATGAAATAATATCGACAGAAGAGTTGAATGTGTAACATCTGATTCATATAAAAAGAATATACCAGTATCAACATATGACATGGTTTTATTTCTGAAAGTTACTTCCAATTTCTACGTAGCTGGAGCTTGAATTTATTTTAAAATAATGTGCATGATATAAAGTGCCAATTACAGTAATATAATTTTTTAGTCTCCATAATTTTAATATTATCCAATTTCATAAATTATTTCTCATGCATCCCAACAAATAAAATATCACCAAGAATGACAAAAATTATATTATATATTTGACAATGCATTGCATTTTGTGACGAAAACAATTTTCAAGTAATCGAAATTTAATTTGTCGTAATAAGACAACGTCAGTAATCGGAATTTAATTTGTCGTAATAAGACAACGTTTTGTACTCTACGTAAGAGAATGAATGTAGATTATATTCATTCATTCTTCTTTATATCAACTGTTACATTCATCCTGAACTACTCCTTTTCATTATCATTTTTAATAAAGTATTTCGAAGTTTCTTACTTATTTGGAATCACTGTAAAGTTTCAGTGTTACATAACCTAAAAAATACGTTTGCTGGAATATGCACATAACCTAAAAAATATGTTTGCTGGAATATGCATATTTACAGTTTGTATATTTGACATATCCCGCAGATGTTCGTACTGATGCATTGCAAAATGGTTTATCTACTAACTCAAATCCTCGACTCAACGTCCATGCCAAGGAATTTACAATGAAACAAGGAGACTTAAGTACTTCCAGGTATGTGTAATATGTATTAAAAGTGTGAATAATTTTTAATATAAAACAGATTTATAATATTTTAACAAAAAAAAATACATCTCGTTAGGTTAGACTGCATAAATTTTAATCACTCCAAAATAAAAATTATTTTCAGATCAGCAGTCAATGTTCCTGGAGCACTAAATAATCGGGATTCACACCCGATTCGTGAAGCTCATCACGTCTTACAGCAGTCAAAATCAAGTGGCAACATTCTGCATCCACTGCAACACTCCAAATCCAGTGGCAACGTATTACACACCCTTCAGCAGTCGTGTTCAAGCGGGAACATATTACAGGTGATATGTTGTAGCAATAAAACATTTCGTCATGAATGTCTGTAAAATTAAAGCTTTTCTCCGTGGCATCCCATTCACACACAGAAGAAGGCAATGGCAAACCACTTCTGGATCATCTGCCAAGAACGTATATGAACAGGTCCCAGTCCGAGAAAAGGATGGAAGGATCCTGTTCATATGGACCTGGCGTCAGACAGAACACTAA